CATATATAAAATATTGCATGATCATTTAGCCGTGAAAAAGGTTTGTTCTCGTTGGATCCCACATCTGACAAAATCTCAAAAAGATGCTCGTGTCGATTGGTGCAAGCAAGTGGTTCGAACGCATGCAAAAGTGTATAGATCATAAAGGAGAATATTTTGTAAAACAATAAAGTCATTTTCAATGACAAATTACTGTTTTTTTATTATTAGGCTCAAAATATAAATAGTGCCCCTCGTACTTTAAAATATGAGCTCGAATCATATGTATCCTGGAAGAGTAATGTGTCAAATGACATATTAATAACGTTGCAGATAATAAAGTGACGTAAAATAACGTCATAATAATGTCACAATAACGTTTTAATAGTTGACCAAATAGTTGACTAAAAATAATCTATTAAAAATCTATCAAAGACGTCTCTAAATTGACATTATTATGTTAGAATACTCACGTCTTTTAAATGTCAATTATTGGATGCATGACGTCTAAGACCAGTAATCACCATTTATCGACGTGAAAATCATATCTTACTGTTTGAAGGCCGACACCTTGCGTAATGCTAATGCTGGTTGTATTGTAACTTTCGAGCCTTATAACTCGAAAAATATTCAGTAAAAAATAATTTTATTATAGTGTTTTGGAAAGTTCTCGACGTCGGCTATTAGATTCTGGAATAAAAAAATAGGGTATTCCAATTTAAAAAAATTGACATGACCTTGACCTGACTTTGGTGACGCCACCCAAGGTCAGACTGACCAGATGTGAATAGATCATTTAAAACCCTAAAACTTTTGTAGGACACATTTCTTTCGAAAATGCTTAGTTTTCGAGATGTTTCACCGGTCCGGGACTTTTTACTCGCCCTGTATACATACATGGTAGATCATTTTAATGTGTATCAAAATCTATAAGTTTAAGGCAAAAATGTTTCAGACAAAAGTTTTATAGTTTTAAAGGGGAAAGAAGTGACCTTAGTTGACCTTGAGAAGATGTCCTTAAGGTCAGATCAATGTTACCTAAAATTTTTTCAATGGAACTCCTCATTTTTTTTATTACATATTCTTATAGACTTCAAGACCTTTTCAAAACTATAATAATGTTATTTTTTATTAAATATTTTCCAAGTTACGGAGGCTTCAAAGTTACAGTATCGCTGGCATTTCCAAGGTGTCAGACTGATGGCTGAAACTTGAAAATGTTGTTCAGAGTCATGACCTTGATATCATATATCAAGATCAAGACTATTGGAGGTTGTATCTCTTATTTTCATTTTTACATAAAAATGACTTTTTAGTGCAAAAATGAAAATAAGAAGAATAATTTCTAATGGCCTTGATCTTGACAAAAGTTATCCAGGACACGATCCTGAACAACATTCAAAAGGTTTTAGCTGTCGGTCGGACAACTTGCGTAATGCTAATGTTGGCTGTACTGTAACTTTCGAGCCTTATAACTCGAAAAATACTTAATGAAAAAATATTTTATTATAGTGTTTTGAAAGGCTCTCAAGGTAAGCTACACGAAAATGTAATGAAAAATAGGGGGTTCCATTTAAAAAAATCGACATGACCTTGACTTGGCCTTGACGAAGTAAGATCAAATCAATAGTACCTTCTTTTGTCTCCCTCCGAACCATACAACTTTTGTTTGAAACATTTTTCCATATCTACCCTAATTTTCGAGAAATCTTAATGTATTATTTAAAATGAGACACTCTGTATATACACAAAGTGAATTATTTAAAGGTGATAATTATTCGGTTCACCTATCTTATCTGCAATTTCGATAAAATTAAACTCATTCGACATATTTTTATACAATACGAAAGAATCTGATAGAGAAAAGTGTTGTTATGCCCTGCAAATCGAGATATTCATTGTTAGTTGCACGTGTAATGCACACTGTCTCGTATTGTAGTCATCGATTTGTAAATGTATAGCTTTATTAACAACATATATTATGATTCTATTGTCAGAACGCAAGTAAAATATATTTCATTAGTTTTATTGTATTTAATATTTAAATTTGAATATACATATGTATATTTAAAGAACTATAACCCGGAAAAGAATGCTTTGGCCCGTATTCAGAACGCGCTTACACAATATTAGCGCGCTAACATACTATACTTTATGTTACGCATCTTATAGAATTTCAGAAATAAAAGTGCGCTTTTATCGATAAAAGCGTGTTTATATATATGAATTATGTCCATTTATATACAATTATATAAAAAATTATATAAAATTACATATAATTTTATATATATAGTAAAACATTTTTCCCACATCGTGCAAGTACTATTTTTCGTATATAGAAGTCTTTTTATTACTTATGTATTAAAATTCACTTGATTACAATAATTATGCTGTTAATTAAAAGCTATGACTCAATGATTCGATTCGTATTTGAACAAAAGAATGAAATTTGATTTGGTTCGATTTAGAGTCAAGAAATCTTTATTCGCATATCTCTACTTATATTTATACTTTTATATGTTCAATGACTACAAGAGAACAGTATAATGTATAATATGGGAACTGTCTAATGTAAGAAAAATTGTATGATGTTATTAAAATGCTAATATTTTACAGTTTATAAAAACTAGATGGTACACAAAAAGTATATTAGTATATGTTTCATATTTTTTTAATTGCGGAAATTTTGTTTGAGGAATTTTTTCATAAAATTTACCTTTTAAAAGTATTTGATTGGTTTGTAATAATTCTCTCTATAGAATACATGTGAGTGGGCGCCCACCATGATACACATAATTAAAACATTTTTTTTCAATTTCTATATGTATATGATATTTTATCGTTTGTATATATCTAAGAACAATGGGATAGATCATATTGACACTGATAAAGAGGAGGAGGAGAAGGAAAGAGGCGATGGAAGAGGAACTGTGGACCGGATCGTTCCGCTTTGGAAGATGCGAAGACGCATTTCTCTCCCAGGGAAAAGCCATTTTCTCGGCTCTCCTGCTGTGCCGCCTGTTTACTCCGCCAGCTCATCTATAATTTCTATCCTCGCTTGTTTACGGTGCGTCGTCTTGCAGCAGCGCGCGGCGTGATGGGTCATCCGTGTTTTTATTTCAACTCAATAAAATATTCGAAGAAGTTTCTAAATCTGTGATCATTAATTTTTTCTCTAACACAATTAAACTCTATGTGCACAAAATTTCAGATTGAATTACTATTTATAAGCTTTTGGAAATTAAACTATATAATAATTGAACTCTTTTTTTGAATATTGAACGACATAAAAGATAGTTAATCCGTCAAAATAGTTTTATTTTGTTTATTATTAAAAAGAGGATGTCATCTTTTCTCACATGAATCTCTTTGATACAAAGGCTGATACTTTTAAACCAAATCGATTATATTTTCTAATCCTTTCTCCTAATCGTATTATTTTTATGAAAACGATACGTATTTATACATGTATAATGCTAAATTAATTTTATTATGTAATAAACTTATATTGAGTATAAACTATTATTTAACAAAAATATATGCATTTTTTCTTTTTTTAATTTTTTTTATGTAAAAGTTTTAGCACGAGTTTAGATAAAATTTTCTAAAGTATTAATATACTATAATATTAAAATTAGGAATATAACCTAAAAAAACTTAAAATAATCTAAAAAACCTAATTTAAGTTTTTTATGTCACAAATATTGCCTTTAAAGAAAGTTAGAATATCTTTTTATTTAACAATTGTTTATAACAAATATTTTTATATAACAATTTTAATCTCTTTATTTTAAATCTTCGATTATTTGGTATCATTGTAATGCTTTTTTCATTACTCAGAAAAATCACGTTCACGGCCAAACAATTCGATAACACACTTGCGAAATTTCGTTTTTTTTTATTGGAAGCGTGTTATATCACCTGTTGAAAATAATCACTCGGAATAAACTCGTTTGATACTGTGTCAATATTAATAAATACAAATATCAATTTAATGACTTAAGTGAATTTGAAACATAAAACGGCACGAGATAATCAGTTGTTAATTTTTTTCTGTATCTGTTTTGCGATAAAAATTTAATTAAATGAAATAGAGCAACGAGAACGATATTGCGTTATTGTTACGCAAAACAATGACTTATTCCCCTGGCGATGGGGTCACAGCCTCGTGTACCCTCTTTGATAGCACGGACTATGGTTGTTACACGACAACGTTTACACATTTTAACCCTAAGGGAAATGCATGCTAACATTTCCCTTGCAACACTTCGTGTTATGGTATGGTCGATATTATAAGCGAAACTTGCTCTAAAGTTGGTTGCTATACTTTCTATTGATTGTGAAGTATTAAAAAAAATTAAACAGCTCGATTAATACAATTCAAATTTTCCACAATTTCAAAAAAGTTTTAAGGGGGATCCTAGCGGGTAAAAAAAATCGAATTTTTTTTACATATTTTGCATGTATTCGGTATAGAAAATATGTCTGTCTAACGTTCGAGTTTGACCTGTGGACTAGCTGATTGATCGTAGATAAAATTATCTCTATATAATCAATACAAAAAACTTTAAACGCGTTTTTCTCAAAACCATGTTTTTTAAATTGGCTCCCATGATATCTCGAAAACCAGTTGACCAATCGAGTTGGGCAAATGCACACATTTTCAGCACATGTATAGCTATAGCCCCTATCACAATCAAGTCGAAATATATATTTTTGTAATTTTTATAACCATTTGGGTAAAAAAAAAACAAAAATCGAAACTTAATTTTCGACATGATATTTTTTAAATTTTCAGTATTTTTTCTTCGTTTTGGTACCTGCTATAGCTAAACTCATACTAATTAAGAGTTTCTTTGGTTTTTTTTTTTTAGATGAGCAGAAAAGCTGGAATCGTTGGAGTCATAGACCTAGTTTTATTTTTTACGACGTTACTTAATATTCTATACAGCGCATATTAACAATTATTTTTTAATAAAAAAATTCTGAAACGTTCTTCAAATATGTACAAATATGTAGAAAAAAACCCTGTCCCAAAAAACTTTATATTATATTTTTGAAAACTTCGCAAAAATAGCATAAAAATTCTGCATCTAGACTAGAATACCCCCGTAATCTGTATTAGTGATACGTTTGTGTAATTTTTAACAAAAGCATATATGAGGCATCTCACGTGAAAGGAGTCCACCTAAAAATAAACTGTTTGGAATCTTTAAAATAATCATGATTCACCACTGTTTTTTCGAAAATAGAAATGGGAAGAAAATATCCTATTATCAAAATTGTAGGCTAAATAGGAAGAATATAAGACATAGAAATAGGAAAGATAAAAAACATACTTTGATGACATTGAGTAATCTTAAATGTCTTTGACTTTTTATTACTAATAAAAAAAATTTTTTAACGGGAAGGAGTATTTTTTAGTCATTCTATTAGTATAGTATTTCATGAGCTGAATATCTTTGTATTAAAGTATTTTTTCAAAAATTCAACTATTTTCGCAAAATAAACTGATGAAAGAAGTCAGCGTATAAGTTTGAAACAAATTTTTTTATGATTACAATACATGTTCAAAATGTTCACCATGTTGATCTAAACATGCTTGTAGTCTCCGTATTCTGCGGAATTTTATTGTAATTCCAAGCATGTATCGTGTTTATCTTTTACTCTCATTTCCTACAATTTCAGTTGCTCCGATAACATGCTCTTTAGGATCTTAAAAATAAAAGTACACGCGTTATGATAGCCTCTATTTTATGTAAACTGCAGCGTTTGCAGTATATGTTTCACTTTGGTGTATCCGTTATATTGCAATATGATTCTCATAATCTGATTTTGTGCCTTCTGCAATTTGCTCAGCTGTGTTTCTTCCATATCAATTAACAGCGTTGTACAATACTCAAAGTGAAGTGTTATGATTGCCCAGTAAACAAGAATAGATTGAAATTGATGGAAATGGATTTAGATTGTCAGAAATGCACATTCGCTAACATTGAAATGGATCCTTTTTAATCCCAATGCATTTTTATTAATTTATAGGAATTGCATGAAGCACATTTCTGTACCTTTTAATTTAAAAATATTATTAGCTTTTTTTATTTAAGTACATCATGAATACTGCTCAATTAAAAAATCTGAATAGAAAATGCAGTTTTTAATCCAATTGAATCCAATCAAATCCAATTGAATTCAATTGAATTAAAACATCTTTTTTATTTAAAATACGCATTTGGATAGAAAAAAATCTCAATATATTTTAATCCATTCTCATTTATCGGGTGTCTTGTATACAATACATCTAGTGTAAGCCGAAATAGAATTACCTATTCTATTTTAAAAAATTTGCTTTTTCCCTCTATTCTTTAGCATGTAACCACAATGCTCTCTAAACTAAAGTCTATCATCAATAACTATTCCTATTTTATTTTACTGCCTATTCTATTTCAATTTCATCCAAACATTTCAAAGTAATACTGCCATCCAGCTCTTTTGACTATCATAAGTAGTAAGTGGAAAGATATGGCGTCAAAACAAATTCCCTCCACGCCTCCCCTGGCGCTATGGATATGACTTAGACGGACCCAGTTTTGGAAAACGACGCGCTCTGATTGGCTCATGGAGAAGAGTGGGGGTAATTAAATTTGTGTTCTGATTGGTTCACTCTATAGTTGCCAAAGATCTGATTGGCGCAGAAGAAGGGTGTCAACGGAAGAGAGGGACCGCCAGTATGGGGGGTGTAAGTCCGACAAAATTAAAAATTGAAAAATTAAGTGAAAGTAGGGTCTTGTTTCGCTTGGGAAAGAGGGTTTTACAAGCAGGGATTAATTGCGGGCAATTTTATGGCGTATTTCGAGCATGATGAATATTGTATGATGTAATGAGGATAAAAAGTATTTTATTCTTTATTTTTCATATTTACACCATATTTGCATTTAATAAGTAGGTGTACGATAGAAAATTAATAGTGGATTTTCGATAAATTCTTATACATTCGCGATTCTTAACTACGAAAAGAAATGATAAGAAATGATAATGTAATAACAGGATAGTTATAAAAGGAAAAAAAAAGTTAGATGTGTACAGATGTTCTTTTGTTAATTTATGATTCATAATTACGATTAAAAACGAGTGAACTACTTCCTATCGTTGCTATCGATTTTTTAAACATAGATAGTATCGTTTTATAATTATTGCAAACTATAACGAACTATCCGTTTAACACCATATGATAACATATGATAAGTAAATTCTGAAAGAGTACCGTAATATTCCAATCTAAAATATCATATGGCATTTCCTAAAAATCATGAACCAAGCCCATATTCAAAACGATAAAACAGTTTTTTTTATTTTCTATCGAACTTTTTTTTACCATTTATAACAAATTTAATTTATGTACATTCTAAATAATTATATATCCATTTAAAATCGATTTTCATTATAATTATCTTTAGAATAAGTTCTACTTGTTTTTATAAAATGAATTGAGATGCATCGTAAAATTTTGGAGAATTTGGTATACTGAGCGCAGAGCCCGCAAATCAAAGAAGTGACATCTCTGAATCCGCGATTTGCCATTGATATCCTCTCAAAATTGATATTCTCTCCAGTGGCGTTGTGGCAATATTTTCTTCCTCCATTGCGAGATCACGTGAGAAAGTGCATCATATGCATTATGCATCATAGTAGCGGACGAACGGACATTATTTGAGACTCTCAACGTGGACCGCGTTATTTCCCACAAAATTACATAAAATTGTATTATACGGCAGAAGAAAAATATGAAATCAAATCGTCTCTTGGAAAATTGTAAATGTTCGAAAACAAACTGCTACGATACTTTTATAAGTTTGATTATAAACCGACAGTTATTTACTATACTATTATAAAAAATAATATATTTACAATATTACGAAAAATATAAATACATATATACATTAACATACGTATCATATTATTATACATATAGTAACTTATATTAATTAATCAACTTATAAAAGTTGAGTCGGTTTTATATTAGAATTTTCTTCCGAATTAATGGAACACGTAATATAAGGGAGAATGGGGCACTATATGCGTCACGGGGAGGAGTATCATGGTTCATTGACCATTTAGTGTAATTCAGAGTGTTTAGATTAATATTTATATCATATGATTATTTTTTGTTGCTCATACTTTTATTTTATTTTATTTATTTAGGTGAAAGTGACAACTCCGTTGTCTCAAGACACATGGACCAGCGTTAATAGTTTTTGTAGTGTGAAAATAATTTTTAACCATTTCAATAAAAATAATAGGTCTATGACAAGCATTAATGAATCATAAGTGAAAAAATGTATTTATTGTCAAATTATAACAAAATGCAAATACATTTCGACTTACTGTTAGTTTTCTTCAGTTCTTAATAATATCTAATCTAAGAACTCGATATTTACTATATAATAGTAATCATAAGATATGTTGTAACGTGTACGCCTGACTTAAACTTGCATAACTATACATAGGAATTGTTCAATAAATTAGATTAAAATATTAATAATACAGAATTCGTAAATATAGGTACATCAAAAAGGGGTGTGATCAAAAAGTAAGGTGACTTTTCATTTTTATAAAAAAATATTCATTTATTCATCCAAAATTATGTTATCCCCTTCAAAATAATCCCCCTCTGATACAATGCACTTGTGCCAGCGCTTTTTCCAGTCGTCTGCTTTGGTTTCGACGTCATAACCATATACCCATGTTTCGTCACCAGTTATAACCCTTTTGAGCAGATCAGGATCATCATTGACGTCGTTCAACATGTCTTGGGCGATGTTCATGCGACACTGCTTCTGATCCAAATTAAGCAGTTTTGGAACGAATTTCGCTGACACACGTGTCATACCCAAAACATCCGTTAAAATTGATTGGCATGAGCCAAACGATATGTTAAGATCATCAACTATTTCTCTAATCGTGATTCGACGATTTTTCAACACAATTTCTTTCACTTCCTGAACATTTTCGTCGGTTTTTGACGTGCTGGGGCGTCCAGAGCGAGGTTCATCGTTAACATTTTCTCGGCCCTCTTGGAATAACTTATACCATTTATAAACATTTTTTTTGCTCAAAGTTGACTCACCGTACGCCACTGTCAACATTTCAAGAGTTTTTGAACACTTAATACCATTTTTTACACAAAAATTAATACAAACTCTCTGCTCCATTATTTTCAAAAGCAAAAAATCGCCGAGCACGCAAACACGAGTCTAACCTTTATGCCTCTCACATAAAAACAAAACATGCTATATAGTCAAAACTGTGAACATATGATCGTGACGAGTGTACCAACACAACAAAAAAAAATTTTTTAAATTAGAGTGTACAGAGCGCGCGAAATTCAAAAAGTCACCTTACTTTTTGATCACACCTCGTACATATACATCTGCTCAGTGTAATAGATAGAATTAATGACATCTCTGACGGTTTAAACGTTACCAAGAAACACTTGCAGTCATAATGTAAAATCGACAGAACTCCTTATCGACTGTGTAACATAAAATAGAAGTATAATCATTCTTCGTTCACATAAGCAAAAATATAGTTAAGTCCACATTTGAATTTTTTTTCTTCTTTATAAAAACATTGTGTTGGCTAACAAGTGCGTCAAAATTATAAAATATATAAGTTTGTAATAAATTGAGAACAACATTCGTTGGAAAGTGAATTTATTGTTATTTATTGTAACTGGTCAATATAACTGTAATTAAGACAGGGCATACTTTTGTATTGGACAACTAATAAGGAGCTCTATTATATTATTCATCTCCCTGGCGGAAAAAATTTTTACGAAAAAGTATAGATAAACTACACAGATTGAAACAAAATCTTAGAAATTCTTACTTTTTCGTAGATATGTGTATATAGTGAGACGTAGAGTGGCGTTGTTTGTTTCGTGATACAAGATACGGAAAAATGTTTTATAAAAACTCATAATACAAGCGCGCAGCGTCAGAAGACGTATACGGAAAGGACGGAGGATTTTTTACTTTTTTAAACAAACAACGCCACTCTACATTCCACTTCGAATATCTACAAAAAACTAAGAATTTCTAAGATCTTGTTTTAATCTATGTAATTTTTTGTAAAAATTTTTCCGCTACAAAAAACTACATAGCTATTATAAGATATAAGTAACGGAGTAATATAGAAGTTTCATAACTTATTATGTTGTATACATATACAACAAACATACATATAATATATTATTATATATATTAATATATTAATATAGGGTGTTTCCAAATTAAATGGCAAAACTTCGGGAGCGTGTAGAGGAGTAAAAAACTAAGAAAAAAAGTCCTATAGACATATGCTCCTTTTTG